ATCCCCTTTATAAAAAAAACCCCTCAAAAAAAAAAAAAAAAAAAAAAAATTACAATCCTTGTCCAAAAGGCTCATTTTAGGTGCCTTCCATATTTTTAATACATGGTTTTGGTTTTAGGTTGGCTTTGATATGACTAAAGGAGCTGCCAGAAAATGCTACGAGAAATCTGGCCTGAGACCAAGTGATGTTGATGTAATAGAACTTCATGATTGCTTCTCTCCCAATGAACTCCTTACTTATGAAGCACTGGGACTCTGTCCAGAAGGTAGTAACCTTGTAGAGGGCAGATCAACTGGGTAGCGTTCACTGAGAAAGCTTCACTTTAAGTTTTGAACCAGAGAATTCACTAGTTGTTTTTCCTTCTATGTTGGCTCTTAAGATAGTTTGGTACTGGGCTTTTTATAACACTGTCTTGGACAATACCTTCCCTGAGATAACAGAGTGCGCAAATAATTTGTATATGTAAATCAGATATTTATAATATACTGGTAAATGAAAAAAAAAGATATAAAATTAATTTGTAATTCCAACGATTTAAAATTATGTTTGAATAAAGATTGGCAGAAAGCTAAATGGAAAGAAGTAGTTGATGGGATCTGGAAAAAATTTATTTTTCATTTCTAAGTGGTTGTATGAAATCTTCTAATGCATCATAGAATTGTAGATTTTCTTGTGGAAAAAAACTTATGGTAAATTATACCCTTCTTGAGGTTAGTTTGTGATCAGTCTGCTATTGGTACAATAGTTAGCCGTTTTGAAAATAGCAATAATAGAATTTTTGCTATGGTCAGAGCCTTCTAGTAGCTCTACATCAGAAGTGTACCAAAATGTGAGAGAGAGATACGGAGTGAGACAGAGAGACAGAAAGCAAGAAATCACCCCCAATCCCTTCTCCTGCATTCTCTCTTAGGATTTTGGGCATGTGCACACATGTGCCTGGCCTGAATTTTAAGCCACTGGGTCTGGGACTCGAACTGCTGTTGGCCATGTGGAGGTTCAGCATGTTTACCACTATATTACCTGACAGCACCAACAATTATGAATTTTTGATGTTGGCATAATTATTTTAGTTATAGCAATAATATTGTGTTCATTTCCATTTTTTTTCCTGTTCTCGGAAGCTTTGCTATACTTGGAGCAATTCTGGAGGCCAGAGAGCTCTTAGGAACTAATAGGAGCTTTGTTTCATGTAGAAAATGTTCTAAAAATATAAGTCTTAATACTCAATGGTTACTACTCAACTTTTATAAGTGTTTATATCAAATTGCTGTTAGTTTGAGCTGTTATAAAATGATTGCTCCCAGAAATTCTTGACTATATAAAAACACACCATTTGGGGCCTAGCGGGTGGTATGACGATTGAGGCACTGGTCTTCCACAGGGCCGTCTGCAGTTTGAGTCCCAGACCTGATGGCTTGCTTTTTCACTTTATCTTTCTCTCTCAGGTGAATAAGCCTACCCTATAGCAAATTAAAGAAAAAGTAATGATGATAATAATAAAATTAAATACATTATTTTATTTTTTAAAAATAATTATCTTATTTAAACTTATTTATTTATTTATTTTAATTTGACCAGAGAGAGACAAAGTGAGAGAGAGAGAGAGAGAGAGAGAGAGAGAGAGGAGAGAGAGAGAGAGAAAGTGAGAAAGCAAGCTGCCAGGCCCGGGACTCAAACTGTAGTTGGCCGTGTGGGAGTCCAGTGCCCTTTACCACTATGCCACCTGCTGGCCCCGAATAAATAATTCTAAATACCAGTTATTCTGGTACCATTTATTTTTGACATTTGTGAATGATATTTTCCCTCCTGTAGGACAAGGTGGAACACTGGTGGATCAAGGAGATAATACTTATGGAGGAAAGTGGGTCATAAATCCTAGTGGTGGACTGATTTCAAAGGGACATCCACTGGGAGCTACAGGTAATATCACATAAAGATTTTATAATTTTTTAAAATCATTTTTGCCATTAGTACAAATGATTTTATCATTGATTTGAATGAAAGATAGTGTTCTCTGAGCTTGATAACTGGTGCATAAATGATTGTCTAGCTATAGTTGATTTTCCTTTGAGTGTAGTACACTTCAATAATCTTGATTAACTGAAAAAAAATTTAATGAACCGAAGCTACCAATTTAACAATATATATATAGAATGGAGGAGAAGGGATTGTGGCGTGGCCATCTCCTCTGGGGGGTGGTTTCTTGCTTTCTGTCTCTCTGTCTTTCTCTGTTTCCAGTGAGTGCATGTGCCCTATAGCAAAAATCTATTTAAAAAAAAAAAGATTTATAGATTCTCACCAATTCCAAAATAGGGAAGTTAGAATTAACAGTGTTTATTATAGCAATTAACCTCAGTTTATTTCTATTTAAATTTTGTAAACTCATGATCTAGTAAATACAATAATGAACATGGGCAGACATAGGAAAACGCATAGATACACATACACACAGAGTTGCAGTGATGTGACACTCTACTATTTCTTTTCTTTTTAGTCTATTATTTTCTTTTCTTACATCATTTTAAAATTAAATTTTAGAGGGACCAGCAGTTAACGTAATGGCTATGTTGTTAGACTCCCATGTAGTCAACCACGGTTCAAGTCCTGGACCTGGTGGCTTAAACTCACACCAGGTGCATGTGCGTGCGTGCCCAAGATCCCGAGAGGAGAACGGAGGAGATGGGGTTGCGGCATGGCCATCCCTCCTGGGGGCGATTTCTCGCTTTCTGTCTCTGTGTCTTACTCTTTCTGGCGAGCGTACACGCCCTATAGCAAAAACCTCTCTTTAAAAAAAAGTTTTAGAATTTTACTCTCTTTTATTGATTCATTATATTCATTATTCAAATAATAAAGAATTATTTATCGAATTTTATATATTATTGTAATTATTTGTTTATAATTCACCAGAGAGAGACAGAGAGAAAGGGAAAGTGAGAAAGCAAGCCACCAAGTCTGGAACTCAGACTGCAGTGAGCCATGAGGGTGTCCAGCGCCTTAGCCACCACGCACCAGCCAGTCACAAGAGCCTATCTTTTAAAAAAGAAAAGTCTTTGGCAATGTTGGAGCAATTTGTTGTTGTTGTTGTTGGCTATAGTGTCCATGTATTAGCTGGGGAGAGAGAGAGCGAGATGGAGAGAGAGAAAGTGAGAAAATATCCCCCAAGAAGGGGTGGCCATGCTGCAATTCCTTCTCCACCCTCCTCTTGGGATTTTGGGCATGTGCTCACACACAGTGTGTTTTATCAAGCCGCAGAGTCTGGGACTCAAAACATGCAGTCAGCATGCGGGACCCATCTACGTTAACCACCATGCATCCTGCTGGCTTGCTGAAGCAATTTTGATGAAATGTTTTACATAGAAGCACATGGGATTCAGAAAGAATTTGAAGTGAGAAAGCAGCAAAAATACTGCAGAAACTCTTTTAGGAATAGTGGCTGTGAAGGGGAAGGGATGTATAGAGGATGTACCTGAATTATAGGTATATGTTCTGTATGAATAAAGTCTTTGGTTTGATCCTAGCTTCTTTGGTCTTTACATTACATAACCTAGTTTTATCTGAAAGATGGAAATAAAATGTGGTACCTACTGAGGCCAGCAGGTGGCGTGGTGATTAATGAGCTAAATCCCACATGACCAACTTCACCCTTAAGTCCTGGACCTGGTGGCTTTAAAAACATGCTGGGCAGGTATACATGCATGCATGCATGCCCAGAATTCCAAGAGGAGAATGGAGGAGAAGGGATTGCAGCATGGCCATCCCCCCTGGGAGTTGATTCCTCACTTTCCTGCTTTCTCTCTACCTCTCTTTGGTGAGCACATATGCTCCATGGCAAAAATCTTAAAAATAAGTACCTACCTTATAAGGTTGTTTTGTGGAAATGAGGAAATAGATGTATGTGAGGAATATAGTGGAATTCTCAAAAGAGAGTAGGGACACAGTAATTGCTAGTATTCTCTTCCCATGATATCTGCAAAAGGAGGCCATAATGGAGGTCTTATTGTGAAATATATGTGTGTGTGTGTGTGTGTGTGTGTGTATAATTTTTGGAGGGGCAGTAATGAAACCTTTGTCTATACCATAGTATGAAAAATCCTGGGTCGTCAGAAAAATCATAACATTTTTCTATGCAAAAAAAATGAATCATGACTTTTCTTTCTTTCTTTCTTTCTTTCTTTCTTTCTTTCTTTCTTTCTTTCTTTCTTTCTTTCTTTCTTTTTTTGGAGAGGTTTTTTGTATAGGATGTGTGCGCTTGCCAGACAGACAGAGAGAGACAGAGAGACAGAAAGCGAGAAGTCACCCCCCAGGGGGGATGGCCACACCACAATTCCTTCTCCTCCATTCTCCTCTCGGGATCTTGGGCACGCACGCACACGTGCCCAGCGTGAGGTTAAGCCACCGGGTCCGGGACATGAACCGTGGTTGAAGAGTCCAGCGACATAGCCATTACACTAACTGCTGGTCCCCATCATGACTTTTCTGACAACTCAATAACTTATAACCACTTTGGGAAAGAATGTTCTTTCACTAGTAGAGAAAATTTTCCTTCTAGTATGACATTCTCCATGTACTCTCTCTTTATGTAAATATTGTGCCCAATGCTACTCAGATGCTATTTTTAAACCACCTTCTATTGAGTAAATAGACTAAATAGTTTCCTTTAATCTAAGCCTCGGAAGAATTAGATCATGCCTCAATGTTGATTTTGTTGCTAATGTGGCACAGAGAAGTCAGGATGATGATAATATTTCTATGCTATGGTCACTGAAGCCTTAAAGAGTTATAATTTGTGTGTGAGCGGTGGTGATTTAAATTCTCTTTTTAGACAGCTTCCTGTATAGGAAGCCTGTTTTATCAGGAGATGAGTGTGATATCTCAGCTAGTTGTTTTCTTTGGCATATTACTTTTTTCTCATCTGGATAAATGTATTTTTATTATAATTTGCTTACCTGCCATTCTGAAATATTTTTGTCCTGCTATCTACTGAAACACTCAGAAAGCATGTTTCATAGTAACAATATAATTTTTCAGGAACCAGCAGTTAGCGTAATGGCTATGTCGCTGGACTCCCACGTAGTTGACTGCGGTTTGCGTCCCGGACCCGGTGGCTTAAAACTCACGCTGGCCGCATGTGCGTGCGTGCCCAAGATCCCAAGAGGAGAATGGAAGAAAAGGGATTGTGGCGTGGCCATCCCCCCTGGGGGGGTGATTTCTCACTTTCTGTCTCTATGTCTCTCTCTGTCTGGCGAGTGCATGCGCCCTATAGCAAAAACCTCTCAAAAAAAATTTTTTTTTTTCATATCCATATATTATCTTAAAAATTGAGATATAACTGACAATAAAAGATACAGTTCTTACAAAAACTTGTACACAGATGTATATCGCAATGTTATTTATAACGGTTACAAAGTGGAACAAGCCAGAGGTGTATCATTAACTGATGAATAGATAAATAAAATGTGGTATATTCATTCTATGGGCTATTCTTCAGCCATGAAAGGAATGAAGTACTGACACGTCCTACGACATAGATGAACCTTGAGAACATTTTGCTAAATGAAAGACAGAGGTCATCAAAAGATCACATGTTATGTGATTTCATTTTTATGAAAAGTCCAGAACAGACAAATCCTTAGAGACAGAAAGTAGGTTAGTGGCCGCCTTGGACTGGGCGATAGCTAAAGGGCACGGCACTTCTTTTCGAGGTGATGGGCATGTCGTAAAGTTGATTGTGGTGATGGGTGCACAACTGTGAATCCACCAGAATCATTGGATTGCATACTTTAAGTAGATCATTGGTTTTAACTATTGGTTACATCTAGGTAACTGCCAAGCAAGCCAAGATTTAGAACATTTCTATCACCCTGGAAAGCTTTACCCTATTTGCATCAGTCCCCTGACTTCTCTCAAGTACTCCTCCCCTAGGCTCCACCGCAAATGGTTGGACTTCTGTCATTGTGGAGTACGAGTTTTGATCCTGGAACATCACATAAATGGTATCAGATGTGCATATATGTACTTTTGTTTCTAGCTTCTTTCACAGCAAAATAGATTTACTCAATTTTTTTGTTTTAGTAGTAGTTGGGTCTTTTTTATTACCAAGTAGTATTGTATTATCATATTTTTCTTTTCTTTGATAGATTTTTTTCTACAGGGTGCATGTGCTTGCCAGGGAGACATGGAGACAGAAAGTGAGAACTCACCCCCCAGGGGGACGCCCCCATTGCAACCCTTCTCCTTCAGTCACCTCTTGGGATTTGGGATTTCGGGCATGCACACACATGCACCCAGCGTGAGTTTTTTTTTTTTTTTTGGAGAGGTTTTTGCTATAGAGCGCGTGTGCTCGCCAGACAGAGAGAGACAGAGAGACAGAAA